GTTCCACTCCGTCTGATAGCGGTCCTGGGTGAGAGGCTGCTGCTTCCTTCCCTCACCTGATCACAGCCCAGCATACTGTGGCCACAAGAAAAGCCCCAGGTGGCCGCATTTGAGAAATGCTAGTAGAAATCCACATTGAGATTCATGAAGAATGTCTTCACAGAGGAAGAAGATGGTTCAAGAGAAATCTAGCAAGGACATTTCCTGAGGTTGCTAGCAGAAATTCCTCTATAATTTCCACAGTCAGATTTATTTCTGATGTTGGGTTAATGTGTCAAAATATATACAGGTACCATTGATATAACTAGGTTGAAACCACACAAAAGTTTTCACAGGTTTAACTAAATCAATTTTAAACGGATTTAAAACAAACTGGTGCAAATCCTGTGTTTAGACAATCCCCGAAAGCAAGGATGGCGGGAAGTGGAGACACCGGGTAGGGCTGTGGGGCGGTAAAGCGGTGACCTTACTGCAGCGCTGGGGAGGCAGATGGATGGGCTCTCCCAGGGGGCTGCTGTATGCTGTGCGGCGATCATGTTTTTCACTCTGGCTCGGGGCCCATAAATAAAGAAGTGTGGGTCAGGCAGGGGCTCTGCCACTCCTGCTTCCCATTGGCGGGGGGCAGGGGTGATAGCCTCGGTCGCAGCACCTGTGCCTGCACATGTCTCCCGGGAGCCGTTCGGGCCGCTGCCCAGCCTTAGGGTGACCAGACGTCCTGATAAAATCGGGACTGTCCCGACATATAGTTGTTTGTCCCATGTCCTGACCAATGTACGGTTGGGACGCCATTTGTCCTGATATTTTGGCGTGGGGCTGGAGTGGATTGGTCACCCTAGCCAGCAAGCTCCCGCACAGCTCCCGGGAAGTGGCCTGCAGGACCCTGTGGCCCCTAGGCACAGTGGCAGGCTGGGGGGGGGTCTCCAGTCCCCGTGCTACGCCCACCACCAGCGCCGTCTCCGTTGCGGCCAATGGGAGCTGCGGGAACAGGGCCTGCAAGCGCGGGCAGCACGCAGAGCCCCATGACCCTAGGCGCCAGAGGGACCTGACGGCCGCTTCCCCAGAGCCCCCGCAGGTAAGCACCACTGGGATCCCACCTCACCCCTGCCCCAGGCAGGTCCCTCTGGCGCCTAGGGTCAGGGCGGCCAGGGGGCTCTGCACGTTGCCCGCACCATGAGAGCCCTGTCCCCGCAGCTCCCACTGGCACAGTTCCGGCCAATGGGAGCTGCAGAGCTGGCGCTAGTGGTGGGCACAGCATGTGGAGACCCCCCTAGCCGCCCTGACCCTAGGAACCAGAGGGACCTG